GTGTTCATGTGTTCCTCAGATGCTCGTTACATTTCCATTACCAAGTCTGACCAAGAGTCATTTAGTGGAATCCTGATGGCCACTCACACTGAGCCTGGTTCTGCTGGAGGTTTCTTTGAATCAATCTGACTGGATGATCTGTTGAACTGTAAAGTGACCTGAGATGATGTGGTGTGAATTGGCGCTATAGAAAAAGCTGAATAGAATTAAATTAAACGATGACTCAGAATAGCTGTCCATTTGTATAAGTTCTTGGAAGGGTAGGTTTATTATTCGGTCATTTCGTAATTTAGCTTGATAGTTTTTACATATATATTTTTCTGTTTGTGGGGATTGTTGTGCATATCTTTTAATATTGTTGTATAGTCAAAGTCTTTATTTGTCCCATGGCTGCTATTTTTGCTGTTTAATCTTCAAATTAATTTCCTAAAGAGATTTTATTTTTCCCTGAAGTGTCTGCTGTGCATTTATATATTGCTATTGTTTTGGGTAAATGTGCAGCAGCTAACAAACCTATAAACAGTGTTGCATATGTTACTGGTTTTCCTGTGGAAGTCACCCTAACTCTTTTTTCCACGATTGTGCAAATGTATGTAAATGGTTGCATCTTTCCCTTTTATTCATCTACATGTTTCTGGCGGTGGTCTGGCGGTGTTTGTGAATGAGAGATGGTGCGGCTCGGCTCATGTTCACGTGAAGCAGCAGATATGCAGCTCAGATCTGGAATTACTCGCAGTGAGTTTAAGACCTTATTATCTGCCGCGGGAGTTTGCTCACGTGATCGTGCTGTGCGTTTACGTCCCTCCCTCTGCTGATGCCGCTGCTGCTTGTGAGCGGATCCAAAGTGCTGTAAACAAGCTTCAGACCACAGATCACAGGAGATTTCAACCATGCCCCCCTCCACTCCACTCTCCCCACGCTCACACAATACGTCACATGGGCAACCAGGAACAATAAAACGCTGGACCTTTTTTATGTAAATGTTAAGGATGCATACACCTCCGCCCCCCTCCCCCCGCTGGGACGATCAGATCACAACCTTGTCTACCTGCCCCCCATTACATTCCACTGGTGAGAAGGACAATAGCACAGAAGAAGTCAGTGAAAGTTTGGTTGGATGACGCCACTGAGGAGCTGAGGGATTGTTTCAGCGCCACAGACTGGAGCATGTTCCAATGGTGAGGACATCAACAGCCTGACTGAATGCATCACTGACTACATGACCTTCTGTGTGGAGAGCATTGTGCCTACACCAAGTTTGCAGATGAGTTAAAAACAGCTTCTTCACCCGGTTTGACTCCCCTC